TAATAGACCTTTAAATATAAATATTAGAAATGTGATATGATTCAGAGTCGTCATCTTCTTTCGCTGTATTAAGGTAGGAAAACTAAATTTTTCGAGATTCTATTGGGTAATAAGCACAAATATATTCGTGAAACGAGATTTAAGGATACGGAGAGATCTTAAACGACAGATCAAGTTGCTTGGACAGGACTGTAAAGCGACAAAGATACTGGCTACATATTTGAAGAACACGAGATTATAGAGAGATTATAATGTACTGAAGACTCGAGGAAGTCAGAAGTAAGATGTTTGCTTATTGTTTATCAAACTCGAAAGAAAATAGAAATAAGAAAAAAATAGACAGCTGGATCAAGGATTTTTAAAAGGGAGAGAAGTTATGAAGAAGGGGATCTTGGAATACAATCTAAGATAAAAAAAGAAGGCGTTTACATTACTATCCTATAAATTTGGCATTATAGATAGAACCACTAGGTCAGTTTAGCTAGAACCACACTTAGGAGATATAGTTGTTACTCAAGGTCTTATTTTTCAGTTTGCCCAAAGTTCACTGGTTTACTCATGGAGATCTTGCGTCAAGTACAGGCCTGGCCTCGAGGTTTACTGTCCCAGTACATGTGCATAGCTGAGCTAAGGCAAATAAAGTTAAATCAATCGAAGGTACGAAGTCCGAGATGGTGTGGCCTTTTGCACGATCGCCGTCTTCTTTCGTTGTATATAAGTTGTTTGGCCTTGTTTCCGCAACTGGGTCATATTAGCAGGAAGATCTAGAAGAACGCACCTAGTCTGGAGTCCATAGTATGAATGACAATTTCCAGAGTCGAACCATGAACGTATTACATTCCCAGGCGTTTCGCCGGCATCGTCAGTTAGCCTTGCCATCCTAAGCACCACACTTTAACTAGTCAAAGAGACAAGTGAAACCGATCCTTTGGTCAATTTTCTGCTAAGCAATTGTAGTATATCTACCCTGGGCTATTCACCAATCTTATATCCTCATATCACCCCTTCACTATCACAATTTCTTATTTAAATGTGGTGTGGTGTGCCCTTTTGAGCGGATTTCATGAGAACTCTCCACACCCCACGCTAGCTTTCTCACCCTCCCTCATCGCTCTTCACCCTTGTGCTGGGAGTGTTGATCAGAGTCTACCATATTATTCCGCAATCCTCTTCCCATAAGTCTCATCAGAGTCTCTTTCTCGCCTCGTATGATCCGCCTCCTACCTCCCTTGTTCGGGTATTTCACTCGACCCCTACCACCCTATCTGTGCTACTCCAAGCGTTATTTCCTCCACTGTCTCAAGCCTTTGATGGCACGCATACTCTCGCCTTGCTGAGTAGGCCCCTAAAAATCTGGATGGGAGACTAACTTGAGGCTAGAGTCCGAGTAATTCTCATGGTCAAGTCTTTGCTTCATGGACCACGTATATGATCAAACATGTCTACTGTCAGCCAACTAGCTCTGGTCTCCACAGCATCTATCGGGCTTCTATCCATACTGCCAATTCTATGACTTTTTTTAGTCGATTAAGTCATAGCATTTAATCTAAGATTACTTCGTTTATGCGTCGTTAAGTAGCAATTTTGGTTAACTTTCTAAATTTTAAGTTCTTTGTGTATATAAATGTTTAGAATGATTTGTTTTTTTACATTTCGAAAATTCATTTTTCAACAGTAAATTTTTGACGAAAATTTCATGTCCATATAGTAAAAATGAGTCTTTCTGTGCCGAGTTATTGTGTACCGTATGAAATTTAGGATACAAACGCCATCGCATGATAGAAAATTGTATGCATCCATTGCTCCTTGATGTAACATTTATTATTTTGTCCTGCTTCTTAACTTCGGCCAGCATAAGGCTATTTTTAATCTTCTTTTTTACCCCAGTACTACCAGCGCATGCTGTGCAAGCGTCTTTTATTCAGTGCCTCCTTCATGATTGACCTTGAGGAATCCGTTATCAATCAACTCAAGTCCGTATGTGGCTACGAGTTTACCAGCAAATTCCATCGAATGTTCAATGATATCCAGCTTAGTCCCGAAATGAACACCAATTTTCAAAAGTATCTGGACGAGAAAGATATTCAGATCAAACATGGGAGTCAGTTCACCGTGCTCACAGTTAGTATGGCAGGCGATCTTATTGCTGCTTTTCGATCTGAGAGTTTAAATTATAATAATAGTTATGAAACTTTAAAGATTCAGATTTATTGCTGAGATGCTTTACTTTTTCATTAGCCACATATTGACTGAGAAGAGTTTTGACTAGAATCCATTATATATATTATTCCGAAGGTATATTGATGACATAATTTGCGACTATCACCTACTCGGTTGCTTATTTGTCAAAAATATTAATACTAGAAAAATTCATCACTGATTGAGACGCCAAGTTTTAATAATTTTGTGGTAATAGCGAGGTATGAATTAGATATTTTTAAAAATGGCCTTAGCCAGAAACTAATTGCTAGGATTCTTAGAGTTTTAATAAATTAGTGGTAGAAAGGTTCGCTCATTAAAAGAATGTATTCTTTTGGTATTTTTTTATGAGAATTTTTTTCTCTAATAAGCCACACTTATTTCTATAAATCGATTCAAAAATACTAAATCATAAATTAAATTGAAAATAAGCTTTGCTAAATTATTCGTATCTGTCCTCTGTACGATTATAGTAATCATTTTTTTCAGTATTTTGATCAAAGTGCATGAAACAAACTGAAAATTGATCTTCAATGATTAGACACTCTTGGTGACGATAGACTCTAGTCCTTGCTGAAGTAGACTTTCACATTTCTGACCCTTCTAAAATCATTGCTCGTAAATATTATTGCGTCCAGATTATTATTATTATTTAGTTAGCTCGACAAACTGAAAAAGTCGGACTGGTAAGCATCTTGACTGCTGGACTGCCGCTTTATGCTACGCCTTAAATGAGGCCCCCACACAAAATGAGGGCCGAACCGAATTGATCAAGTAAAAAAGTTCTTTATTTCAAGACTTTCATTTCTTATGTAAGTACATGATGAAGAGATTCGTCGGTCAATCTCACCAGAAGACGTCGGTTTATGCGTCAATATGAACATATTAGAGCCAAACGACTGTAGTACAACGCGAATCAGCCGACATGACCTAGGAATCTCTTCATGTACTTCCATATGAACAAAAAGCCTTGACGTTAATCTTATCTCAGGAAATAATCCGAAACCCGCATTTTCTTCGTATACAAATACATTATCATGCCATTTGGTATTTCATTTTTAATGGAATGTATCCCCAAATTTACCTGGCGGAAATAAAGGAAGATTGACTTGGTGTATATAAAAGTAATGCATACGATAACACGATTGGTCCGTAGGAAACACAAGAAAATATCCTAACGCCGGTAGTTTTTACATAATTTTATTAGTACTATACATTAACATTAATATAACATGGTACTTCACTCCGAAATTTTGATGTGGCATTTTGTGGGCGATCATGCAAT